CCTCCCTGCTCCCCCCTCCCTCTGAACCCTTGATAATTTATAAATTATTATTATTTTATCATATCTTACACCATCCAACATCTCCCTCACCCACTTCTCCACTGTCCATCCCCCAGGGAGGAGGTTATATGTAGTCCCAAATGATTTTAAACAGGGAAGTGACAAAAAGCTTTGCTTGATAATGACTGAGCCCCCGGATAAGTACCACCAATACAATTGTGTAGCAAGAGCAATGTAATATGAGGCAAGCCTGGTCTTTAGACTTTTATGTTTGCATTTGTTTTGAAATTAGCCATAAATTACCATATTTAAAATCACTATAAAATTTAGGAAATACTTCATTCTCTCCGTTTCATTCAGTTGGACTTTCCTCTAAATACCTACAGTCCACTCTGGAAGATGCTTGTCTTCTCTGCAGCCTTATTACATTCACTGAGCACATGCCACAAACAGAAGTAGTAGAATTTACAAAAGCATGTGTGTCGGAGGTGGGGTAGAATGCGAAGGAGGTGTGTTACAAAACATGGAAGATGAGTAGGCTTAACGTGTAAAGTTTTGGTGACATCTCAGTCACCCAGGATTGATTTTCTCACTGCCTTTGAGTCCGTGCCTACTCACAGCAACCCTATGAGACAGGGGAGCTGCCCCTGTGGGTTTCTCAGACTCTTACCTCTTTACAGGAGTAGAAAGCCCAGTCTTCTCTCGTGGTGTAGCTTCAAACTACAGACCTTGGGGGTGGCAGCCCAATGTGTAACCACTACGCCACCACGACTCCTCAGGAGGAACTCGGCCAATAAATAAAAACCCAGACTTGGTTCACTGGCTTCATCGGAGCATCCGTGGCTACCTTGCCTTGCTCTCTGGCTTTGACTTTTCTGCCTTCTAGCTCAGTAATCATTCTTTGGGGCTACCTCTCTTTTTCTCCTGGGTGAACTTTCCACAAAATTCCAGCCTCCAGCCCTTCTCCTTCTTCCATTATCTCTTCCTTGGTGCGAATTGTAACATTAATCCCATTAATGGGCTTCCAGCTCTCCTTTACACAGCTTCACCTAGAGCAGCGGTTCTTAACCTGTGGGTCACGACCCTGTCTCAGGGGTCGCTCATTTCATAACTGTAGCAAAATTGCAGTTATGAAGTAGCAAGGAAAATAATGTCATGGTTGGGGTTCACCGCAACATGAAGAACTGTATTAAAGGGTCGCAGCATTAAGAAGGTTGAGAACCGCTGACCTAGATAGAGGATCTTCCAATCTTCGTGTTCTGAAACTGAACTCGTCAACTTTGCTACCCTCTCCTTCTTTTCCCAAGCCTCCCCAAACAAACCCAATTATCCTAAAACGTGCTCTTCCTTTGACTTTCAACTCTGACTCTTCGTTACCGCCCATGTCCAGGCGTTGCCGATTCTCCCCGACTGCTAGGGAAGAGTCTTGGCTTCTCCTTCCATTACCACCACCCCTTGCCTGGAATTGCTTCCGTTTCTCCGGGTCCAAAATGCAACTTCAGTTTTTGCCTTCTCCAAACTGCTTTACATATTTCTGCCACACGGATACCCCATATCAACTCTGCTCATATACCTCCAGCTTAACGTATACTTTTTTCTGTGGTTTGAAGTCTAAATTCCTGGTCTAAGTCTGAAGCCTTATAAATCTTACAGAAAAATCTTTTCCAGCTTTCTCTTCATGAACCCTGCATGCCCTCCCATCTGACCTACCAAGATAATAGTTATTCACTATGCGCTGTAGTTTCTGGCATATGTTCCATGTCTGTGTCTCCCCCTGCCCCACCCCCAACCTTGACATCTTGATATCCCTTGCCTGCATTCTTTATATGCCTGCATCTTGCAGTCAATCTCAAGTACTGCTAACATCTTAAAACTAGTCCCTCACCTAGAGAGCTTTATAATCCTTCTGCCCTGTGGATTTTAGAGCATTTATTCCTTTTTACCTTCTAATAGATAAAATTTTTATTTCCATAATTAGATTATAAACTCTAGGAATAGAGAATGGTGTGTGTGTGTGTGT